AAGATTCTAAACCTTAGAATACGAATAGATAGTTCTTTATAGTTCTTATTTACCTAATACAAAATTAATAATATATTTCAGATGCAGCTTATATCAACTAGAATGCTTCATGAAAATATGGTCTTTTCAGTTTGCAATTTGTTTAATATTGACCAAGGCTTGATAATAGGGGTAACATTTACAAAAATATCTATTATTGTTAAAAATATGTAAATAATTTTGTATTAATGTTATAGGGTATTAGTGCGGTTGGAACATATATGGTTGTGATACTGCAGTTTCAAATTATCGAAGTATATACCAATTAATTTAAAATGTAGTTATAAATAATATCTTATTTAATACTTTAAATACTTACAACTTTAATAAATAATAATTTGTTCATGTTTTTACGTGTACAGCAAGCGTTTGATTAATTATACAACTTTTATAGAATAGTTAGACAAACCATAATATACGAAACAAATTTTGGTCCCCAACTAGAGCAAATCTCTGCACACCACTGGAAAAGAGCATGGAATGGACCAGAGAAGAAAAATACTTCTGTCGTGCTTGACATTTCGAAACTAACCTAAAATTATTTGTATAGTAACAATTCCTTAAAAATACACGTCAGAAGTAAACTAAAGTGCGTGGGATTTAAATAAAAAGAGGTCAATCTGCATACTCTTATAATTACTCTCTTCAGAAGTCCATATTTATTTTACTAATTTGGTCAATGATGTCCTTTAAAAACTATTTAATACTCGTTTGTGTAATAACTGTTGTAGTGGTTGCTACCGCAAGTGATAATGAAGACTTTTATAAATTATTAAATGTAGCAAGAGATGCGACAAGTAAAGAAATTAGACAGGCTTTTAAGAAATTAGCCGTTAAATTACATCCAGATAAAAATAAGGTATGATTTAATACATCCTCTTTCTTCTTTCTCAACTTTTAATTTTGCTCATTTTCTTACAGGATGACAAGGATGCTGAGACTAAATTTATAAGAATAACTAAAGCTTATGAGATATTAAAGGAACCAGAGTCACGGAAAAAGTATGATCTGTATGGTGACACAGGAGAAGACAAGAAACACAATTATCACAGTTATACATATTACAGAGATGTTTTTGGTATTTACGATGATGATCCTTTGATAACAACTTTAAGTAGGGCAGATTATGGTAAATATCCCTGCCAGTGGTCAAGAGAAAAATTTAAATCAATTGCTTTTGTGTGGTTTTTTAGAACTTAGTATAATCGACAGTAGTCAAGCATGGTTTGTTAATTTTTACTCACCCCATTGTCATCACTGTCATGAATTAGCACCTACTTGGAGAAAACTTGCCAGGAATTTGGAAGGTGTTGTTAGAATTGCAGCAGTTAATTGTGAAGAGGATTGGATGATTTGTCATGAATTATCAATAGATTCCTATCCAACTTTATTGTTTTATGAAAAGGCTGTAAGTTAAAGTAGCTGAAATGCTTAATATATTCAGAAAGCATTTATTGCATTTTTTATAGGCTAGATTATTTGATGGCCAGTTCTACAATGGAAAACGCACATTAGAAGATTTAGAAGACTTTGTAATTTCCAAACTTACTGCAGATGTTGTTCCCATTCAAGATGAAATTTGGGACTCAGATGAATTTAAAAAACAGCCTTGGCTACTGCTGCTTTGTCCTCCTAATAATCCTAATTGTCCTGAAAGAAATTCACAAATTAAATTAGCTACATCATTGGTACAGTATTGATGCATAACTGATTTATAATGTAACAATTTTTTTTTGTAATCTTTATTGTTACAAACGCCCTCAAAATTATTTACAGGAAGGTTTAATGTCTGTTGGATTGATAAAAGACAAAGAGCTTTCTAAGAAATTTACATCTGATTACATAAAAAATCCAATAGTGTTTTGGCAATTGACTGAATTTTCAGAGATTCACATTGTAGGTGGAAGTGATTTCAAAGAAATTGTTGAAAATGTTTTAAGTCTTCTTCCTGATTTGCAGCACTTAAATGATGAAGCTTTTTCAGTATGTAAATAGATGTATGTATAATTAATATCATTAACAAAAATCTTTTCCAGGATGCTCGCACTAGACTCAGATTGGGTTCAGACAAACCGTGGCTAATATGCTTCTATATGGGCACTGCAACTCAACTAAATCTACACCTGAAACGTTTACCAGCTGTTTTACCCCATATGAATCTCGGTACGTGTAACAGAAAACGTTTCTGTTACATATCTACATTTTATTTAAAAGCCAAACTGTTTTTTAACTTGTAGTATTTCAGACATTATCGCAAATTTATCAGTTAGGAGACTGATTTAGCATGCACCTGCACTCCTTCCATCCTTTGGTAATTTTTGGATTTCCCAAAAACTAGAGCATCCCACATCCCTAAGTATTTACGAACGGTAATCTAATCTACGGTTTCCTCTACCCCGCTTTACTTTTACTTCTTCAATTTTTTTCTAACCAACTCTTCACGTTTCAGATGGTGTTAAAATTACAAATTGTTGAACATATTTTTTATTCGATTTTCAGGTATGATACACTGTGGAAAAAATGCTGACTTATGTTCAAGCCTTCATGTTAACCATTATCCTGCTTGGGGTGTCTTGAAATCAGGAGGCGCATTTGAATTACACCATGGCCAAAACGGGTTCCACGAAATTGTTACTTTCGCTAAAGACAGCAGTAAATCAACTAATTTACATGCCCTTTCACCCGCTGATTTTTATACCATTGTGAAAGACGGTAAGTATTCACTTCACGTTTGTTGAATAATTAAATTGTTATTTCGTTTTAAGGAAGTGGCGCTTGGTTTATTGACTGGTACGCCCCTTGGTGTCCTCCCTGTAAGAGATTAATGCCCGAAATAAGAAAAGCTAGTCAACATTTCTCTCCTGAGAACGTTAAATTTGGTACAATCGATTGCACACTTCACACGAATTTGTGTAGTAGAGAGGGTGTTATGTCGTATCCTACCACCACTTGGCACAACGGAAGCAAAGTGCATCATTTTCGTGGCGTTTTGAATGAGAGAGGCATAATCGAATTTGTTGAGGACATGCTAAACCCTAAAGGTATACATATTTTATAAATGTATTTCCAAAAATATCTTATAAACTCCATCATTAAGACTAAAAAAAATCCCAAGTTTTAAGTTTCAAAAATATTTCTGAGCTTTGCATCATATATTTGAAATATAATATCCATCTTCTTGATAATGTTGCAATGTTAAAAAGTTTAGTAGATGATACTGTATATACATAGTAACTATAAAAATATCGAAAATTATTAAAATACTTTTAGTATACTGTATACTTTTTTATTATAGTCATTGAGCTGGATAGTTCTACATTTGGTAGACTGGAAACTAAACCAGAAAATGAAATGTGGTTGGTAGATTACTATGCCCCGTGGTGCAACCCTTGCCAGATGTTAGCTCCAGAACTGAGAAAGCTAGCAAAACAAGTATGTACCAATAAAATAAAATATAATTTTTAAATAGTTTTTAATAGGTTTATTTATATCAGCAACTTTGCAATTTATCGAATATTTTCTATCCTCATATCTCTGCACCATATGGTGTATTACATAGGTTAGTTCTTACAAAATTGCAATCAAATAGTCATTTGCAATTGCAAATTATTTTATATTAATTGGTAATTCAGTCTTTTAACAGTTATGACTATTCTTTATGTGTTTTCTTTTGTAGATTGCAGATATAGATTACATAAAAATCGCTCAAGTTGATTGTGACGCAAATCCAGAACTGTGTTCAGCCCAGAATGTTAGGGCTTATCCCACCATAAGACTGTACCCTTTGGGTTCGAAGGGAATGAATACCGTGGCGTAAGGATTCTACAAACTTTGGTGTTACATTACGGTATTCTAATATTTTTTTACAGAATTTATAATAGCCACAGGGATGCAATGAGCATGAAAAGTTGGCTTACAGGATTTTTACCTTCAACTGTAGAAAAATTGGACGCGAAATCCTTTAAGAAGAAAATCCTATGGAAGAGCTACGTCTTGCCATGGTTAATAGACTTCTATGCACCTTGGTGTCATCACTGCATACACTTTGAACCAAACTTTATTGCTACAGCACTAGTAAGATGACANTTTGTTTGTTGTTGTAGAATTGATAGTTCCGCACAAAGATTGTTCAACACTTTAATACTAGTTCAAAAGTGCCATCGTCTACTTTATCAAATATCGCATTTAATAAATAGATGTTACACCGTGGACAACTTGTTTAACATTCTAAGATCAGGAGCAACTAGTATTACGTTAATATTTATAATATGCAACTATTTGGTAACACGAAGATCAGTTTTTATAGACGATATATCAGTGAGTTACTGTATATATTTCACTGTTGCAACTGTAACAAATTTCGGAACAATTTATCTGCTGGCTACGTTCTGTTCAAATATCAAAAAAGAGGTGGGTACTGTTTTGGGTTTTGTACCAAAAAGTAAGACGTACGTATTAATTCATTTACTTTTCATCCTTCAGGCGTTACAAACCGGGATTATCTTATACAATCAACAAACCATGCAATTTCCCAAGTTTATCGAATACGCGGATTCCATAAAATTCCTGGTAATTTAATAAGATATTTTTGCTTACATTAGATACAAATACAGTGATACCTCGAGATACGAGTTTAATTCGTTCCGTAACCTTGCTCGTATTTCAATTTGCTCGTATCTCAAAGCAATTTTCCACATTGAAATTAATTGAAATACCATTAATTTGTTCCAAAAACAAAAATGCTACCCTCAATTGTTTTTGTTACGTGTTTTTGAATAAGACGCATTCCCAATATCTCTTTTATCTCATTTGTAGAGATAACCTCCTCCACCTCTGGCTCTTCCTCGAAACCAATTTCTTGTAGAACCCCCGAATGCTGCTGCGGCTGTAACTCCTGTCATTCCTCAGTCGTCAGTTCCTGTGAGTGCACCTCGACGAACCCGTTCACGTCTCTCTCATCCATCACCATCAGGCCCATGAATTTTCCCAGAGACACTCTACTGGCACTTCGGGTTCGAATCCTTCGAAAGTCCTTTTGGCTATAGACTCGGGCCACAGCTTCTTCCATGCAGAGATCAAGATCCTCATTGTAACACTCACCGAGACCTGATCAATAATTCTGAGGCATATCACGATGTTAAAGTGATCCTTCCAATACTCTCAAAGGTGAGGTTTATGTTCCCTGTCACCTCAAAACAACGCCAGAGCTTAGTGTACAGCTTTTTAAAATTAGAAATCACCTGCTGCAGGATAGGAGTGGTATTATGTGGTAGATAGAGAACCTTTATAAACTTGAACTCTTCGAGGATGTCATCTTCGAGGTTCGGTGGGTGAACAGGAGCAATGACGAGGACGAGAAGGACTTGCATGAGTAGGTTGTTTTCCTTTAGATATTTCTTAACAAAAGGGCCAAAAACCTCGTATCTCAAATGTTGCTCGTATTTCAAAACAAAACTTTGCTTGCTCGACTGCTCGTATCTCAAATAACTCGTATGTTAAGGCACTCGTATCTCGAGGTACCACTGTATATGAATATATGGATATTTACCCAATAACTTTCTAGATAGAATTTATATCGACAAGACTACTTCATGAAAACTTAACGTTCACCGCTTGTAACCTTTTCAACATTGATAAAAATTTGATAATAGGGGTAAATAAAAATTCTTTAGTAATCATATATTCTTATTCTAAATAGGCTTTATTTTAGTCCGTCGGTGCAGTGGGGACATACATGGTTGTAATACTACAATTTCAAATCATGGAAACTTACAAGAGTGATTCTACAATAAATACTAAGTTTTATGCGTAATTACTACAATTTATTTATTCATCTGTAGTAGTTGATTTATTGTATATTTGCACTAATAGACAAATAAAGTCATAAAATAAATTATCTGTGAGAATGGACGTATCTTCTTTCTTGTTCCCATATGGAGTAGGAGTCCTTTGCTGCGTTTTGGACACGTCCTTGCTAAGTAAGGAAATGCTTCATAAGTAATACAGACAAAGTAAAAGAGGTAACCGAATAATAATAAGCGGCGCTTAGAGGTTGCTTAGGTACGTAAAAGATCAGGGTCGGCTTTATAACTACCTGATTGTAATTGTATCTTTAAACAAACGTCTTTGCATTCCTAAATTCCTGAAAATGTTGAAATTTCTTTAAAGTCCGATGCTGTCAACATGCTAAAATTCTGCCTGTCTGCATCTCTTTCTGTTACACATCATTTGGTATAATGTTATTCGTTTTTTCTTTATTAGTGTCCGCTGCAATTCCCACCTGACATCTCTTTTCTATGTTTACGATATTCCTTATAACGTCTGTCGTAAAAAGTAAAAGTAGGCGTTCTGTAAGCAACCTCTTTAGTAGTCTTTAGTCTCATTAGTAGGTTGAAAGAAGAAAGACTATGCAAATTTTGAATGTCCCAACTATGTCTACATTTTCATTTTGTTAAGGGGTAATTCAGAATTCCAAAAGTTTCTTTGAATTCTACATTATTATCTCTTAAGAACATTTTCAGCTTATCTAGAGCTCCTTCTTAGTTGTATAGCGAAGCACATGATTCACAGTCAAACCTGCTCATCATACATCTGAAGGCTCATTAAAATAATCAGTAAATTCATTGGAAGACCTCAGAAGAGAGGTAGAAAAACATGTCAAAAACGGTTCAATCATATAAACAACTGCATACAGAACAAATCCATTTTTGGCTATCTCATTTCAGTAGGTTCTAGGATATATTTGGCAAACTTTTGGCATTTAATTACCAAATTTGGGTACTCCTAGAATTGACTAAAGATACATCAATCAAAAGTCGAAATTAGAATTTGTTTCGTTTATTTTAAAGCTCTGAGGCATTTTTAAACAATCTCTGTAGACTTTGTACAAAGTTTAAGTAATGTTCTGTACATATATATTGACCCATCGTAGTAATTATTGGACTTTTCTATCTGTACAGTTATTAATGTTAGACAATTTATCTATTTGCAATGATAAAACGTGTAATGCACCTAAATGAGTTGGTAAATTACGCACGTTCGTTTAAATTTTTTATCAGGTAGGTAGTACCTATGTTATATATTACGTCCATTAGGTGTTAATCTTATATAAAAGAGGCTGCAGGTATTTATTATGTGTTACTCCTTTCGATTGCTGATAGAAATGAATGAACAAGATCTGACATTCGCTGATGTTCTTCAAACATTGTCCAAATGGACAAGGTTTATTGGATTGGGTCCTTTTACTCACAGAAAACATAGAACACAATCATTTTGGGCTGTGTGTCTTCAATTTTTGCAAATATTTCTAATGGTCATTGGTTTGGTACTAATAATTTTATATCATGGCAAAAATCTTATCAGCGGAACCACCACAGTGATCAGAACAACTAGTACAGTATGGATGGCACTGCTATTGGGTTCTTTGGCCTTTTCATATTTGGATTCTTTCATTTTTCGTAAAAAAGTAAGTTTTATTTTTACTTGTTAAACTAAATAAATGTATGTTCAATTACAAGAGCAAGAACAACAAATTGTGGTATATATTATCATAGAGCCTTTCTACTAAAATGGTGCAACCACTTTCTCGTTTGCTCCTGTTGATATTTTTATTATCCTTTTCTTTTCCTTAATACAGCATTATACTACCCCTCTCTAAGGTTTTCCTAACTGTCCATATATTCCTGGGTCTTCCTATTTCTTTTTCTTAAATTATTCCAGTTTCCCACACTTTCCTTACTTGTCTCTCCCCATTCATTCAGTACTTCACACCTCAATTGGTTTTGCTCTATAATACTCAGTCATATCCCATGTTCCTGGAGAATTTTCACGTCTCTGATTCTGATTCTTTTCCGTTGCTTGTAACTTGCTTTTTTCCATTTTATTTAATGCATGTTAGATGCGAATGCCGCCAAGTCTAAGCATGTCAATCTTTTGTCCCTGTATGTCTATCCCTAAAGCTACACTTTAATAATACTTATCTCATCTTTAATTTACAAATTAAAATATAGCCGTGACAATGTACATCCTTGCCTAACTCCTTTCCTAATATATACTTTTCTACGATGTTGCTCAAATTCTATAACCACCTGTCGCTCTTTGTACAAACTATATGTCAATCTTCTACTCCTAGATCTCATCTTTAACTACTTAAGTGATTTTCCTTATGTATATGCTTCTAAACTACAAAGGGTTAGCCCCTAAAATTTCAAAATTCCGCCCTTTTTTTCATCCTTTTGTCTGTACGATTCTAGTTCAGATTTTTGACGCATGAGAAGTTAGCTCAATTCTTCTAAAATTCTCTCATCTATCCGCGCATGTCTTTTTTTATAGAATTACTACAACCTTATTCCATTTGTAATCATCCAGAATTTTCCCTCTCGCATACATGTGACTAACTAGTTTAAACCCGTAAACCTTCCATCTGTATTCTATTTATACCTTGTGGCTTGCGCCTTACTTTCCTTGAATTTTTTAAAGGCTAATTTGAGTTCTCCCTTTAGAGAGATCCTAATTCAATCTACCTCCACACTATCTTCGTTAGATTCATCTATTAATTCTCAACCTGCGTACAGTTTCCCTAAATATTCTTTCCACTTGTCCGCCTTTTCCTCATTTTCTAACAAAATGAATCTTGATTCGTTTCTTATTTTAATTGTAATTACTACTATACATAAAGTGTAAGCAGATGAGTCGAAATGATCTTGAAGGCTCTTTTAGATGCTCATATACTTATATATCATGGTTACTTAACCAGCCTGTTTAAATTATTATTTTTTTACATCTAATAGATGCAATTTATTAGATATAAAATTAACAATTGTTCTAGAAGACAGAAGGTCTACTAATGATAATAGAAATTGATGATGCGCTGAAGAATGGAGGAATTGACAATTTTACAGTTGAATACAAAAGAGAAAAATCTTTATTAAGAAAACTTTTATTTGGTTACGTCCTG